GAAGAGATGACTTCACTTGTTTTTTTCAACAGAACCAATGCTTCGGGCACAAAATGACTTTTTCTGATCGATACTCGAAACAACAAACAGATCAAGAAAGTAAATAGACAGAAGTCATTCACAAAATGAGAACATACCATGTAGTTCAACTGTTCAAGTAAACTATAGATCAAGAGTGGATGGGAAAGGAAAAGAGAACCATTCTCTTAAATTCTGTATCTACTGCAATCAACAAGGTAAAAGCACTAACCAAATTCCAAGTAATTACTCATTCTTATTAACAAACCAGTCTAAGAACCCATATGAGAGGTAAGGAACAAAATAGAAAGAAGAGAACCTACTTGAGTCTGTCAAAGATTATTACTACGACACCAAAGCTATTAGTGATGGGATCATATCATAACAACTATATCTTGGTCGATTTACAGTTGCACTAAACTTGGAACGTAAGAGCACACAAGTTGGCCATCATAAACCGAGTCCAAGGGATCTGCATCTTCTCCGATGTTAACAGATTTGAAGTAACCATCTTCTCCAATGACGCAAGCTGTCGTCTTCCTCGGACTATCTGGGTCTACATAAAAAACGACAGCGACTTTCTTCTCCTCGTCAATGAAGAAGCTCGTGGTTCCAAAGTCATGTTCTGCTGGTAAGCCATTGATTAGTGACATATCCACGCTCAAAAACTTGCTCCACGATACAGCATTAGGCTCAATCTTAGTCGTAACCCAAATCTCCATTATCTCATACGTATCTTCGTGTTGATACAACACCGAGAGCTTCTCGTCTCTAACCGAAGACAGAGTCATAGTCTCAAACGCAAATGCGGTCCAAACCTCTCTGTTGTGAAACAAAAACAGACTAAACAATCTACAAAATCTATCACAGCCGTCTCGTATGCCACTTCTGTTTCCACTGTTATCATCTCTTTATCGAAAAAGTAGGCATTTCCCTTCAAAGACATACCATCACGAAAACACAGATTATAAGAGTATCTGGTATCAAGAAACTTCCATGAATCAGAGCTAAAATCATAGACATCAATGCGTCGACCACGTTTATAATCAAACCTCAAGATTTTGTGGTTACTCTTGTTATCGAGTCCTAAAGCAAACCCGTCCTGATCTATGGAATTTGGTACTGAGTTTGGTCCATCTAGTTTGACCTAAATAAGGATTCCAAACCATGAACCTAGGATTATCTACTTCATTGGTAACGCATAACAATGATCCATCACAATGAAAAACCTGAGATATCATCGAAAATACTGACTTGCTTTATAGATGGATCGATGAACTCGTCTTCTTCGTTTCTGATTCCTTGGAGATGGAATCTCAAGGACAAACCCCAGACTTTAACACCATAAACTGCTGCATCTTCGTTGCTTCTGCTCTTGTACCCAGAATCTGTTTCTTCGACCAAGCGTTCCATGGGTTACAAGTCAATCGAACTGGGACTAGAGATGAGAAGTGAATGGAACCCTAGAGAGAATCTCTCCAACCAAATCCTCTGATAGATCGGACATTTTCGTCATCTTTTAAAAGCTTTCAACTTCGTCTTCCCTGAATCAAGTGACAGTGTCGAAACCCCTAAAATCTATCTTTGTTGGGCCTTATGATGATCATTTGCTCAGGCCCAAATAACTATGATCAGGCCCAATTGACAATGGAACACTTTTGTTTCTTGAAATCAGGAAGGAGCAGCTCTAGCTGCAGCAGAAGTCAAATGTATCATGAACATTTTCACAAGGGAACCAAAAAAAAAGACTAGTTGTTCTTCACAATCACTGTCTTTATGAATTCCATAACTGTTGAAACCAATTGACTTTGATGTTTGGTATAACAATGATCAGCTCCTTCCACAATTTCCAGCTTGTGGTTCGGTATGATCTTCGCAAACTCCTTCGCATCTTCCACGGGTATTACCTCGTCAGCTGATCCATGAATTGTCAAGACCCTGCCATTACATCAATCACGGTTTGTTTATATCCCAAACATGCGATATGAGTTAGAGAGCTCAGCGAATCTCACCTGCATTCTTTGTCAATCTTGAGACAAGCTTCATGCATATCAGTGTTTAACCTTTCCATTAAGCTCTCCTCAGTAACACGGTACCCGGATTTTCCTGCAAAATAACAGCACATTAATAAAGACACAGAGTTATGATCTGAGAAAATGCAGGAAATCTGAACAATACCATCTTCAACATCAATGAATCCTTGTTGCTTAATTCTTTCCAAAAAATCTTCCCCAAGACGCTCTACTATGCCTTTTTTCAGATCATAACGTCCCGAGAGATTGATTACATTGTGGATATCGTGATACTTCGAGGCATAGAGGAGGACCACATCACCTCCTATGCATTTAAAAGTTGAGCGGTCAAAAATAAGTTTAGTATCTTGCAATGTCAGATTCACCCCTTCTGTGAATCCGTTGCTCAAGACAGAAGAACGCACGGTCTTTAGTTACCTTTACTGTGCCCGAGAATTATAGGAACCACACGGTTGATGTTAGAGAAGTACTGGATAACGGAATGTAGATCATCAGCTTCATGGTTATAGTTACCATAATAGAAACTGCCTTCACTCTCTCTGCAACAACGTAAGCACCACAACAGCCCAAGAATCAAAACAAAATTCAAATGATCTCATTCACCTATGCAAATCGATGATAATGCAAGCAAGAGAAACATACCCATTCCCAGAGAAATCAAAACGGAAAGCGCTGATCCCTTCTTTCTCTATAGCAGCAGCCACATTATTCATAATTTGGTTATCCTGCATAATTTCATAGACCAAATACAAGTTAATTCATACGTAAATCCTAGCAACATATGCAACCCACAATGTCATGAAGAATCCACCTCAATTTGCTAATTAGCCAAATGGTCTATGCACTTCCTCAATGAAAAGAAAGCAGAAAGAGCGAAATTCAAGATATTGAGGAAATAAACATTTTCAAGAAACAAACAAAATACCAATTACTGTTTATTTCTAGGAATCTTCTACTTGTTAGTATTAACTAGACAACAAAGCTTATCAATTTGAGAGCCAGCTATCAAAAATAGAACATGAGAGCTTACTGCAGGGAAAGAAGGCTTTGCAGGTTTTCCAGTAATGTAACCTCCAAACCAATTATCATAATAAAATGATTGAAACGATATAAACCCCTTGAAGTCTTACGATATAATATAATTGGTAAAAGCAAACAGCTTGAAGAGTCTTTGTCTTCAACATATTTGAAGTTTGCCTTCAACATTCATATCGATTCAAATCAAGATTCAGCTATAATCTATCTCTATGCGCCAAAAGATGAAGAAAGTTCCGAAACAACCAAGATGCCGAGCTACTAATGGCAAAACCTTTAATCACACTATACAAGTTGAGCTCAAACTTTATGAACATACAAGTAAGTTGCAAACCACGAAATGTTAGTTGCAATAAATTTCTACCATCATGTCACAGAGTTGCTTATGATCAAGTAAATCTCAGATCTCAGGATCTGAGAAACCGCAAGAAAAAACAAAAAGCTTGCAGTTTTACGTTTGTGAATCACTGACTACGATTGCAGATTCATAATTCGATAAAGGGTAAGTGAGAAGAAAGCATAAATCAACAATCACACTAACCTTGTTGGATCGAAATCCATGACACAAGACCACAATTTCTCTCGAACCAGTTTCGTGAAGCAGACCCACGAGCTTCTCCTTGTGACTGTTCGGAATCACCATCTTCTGCTGCTGTGCGCAAACTGCATAAAAAGAAACCCAGAATCTTACGAAAAACTGAAGTGGGATCGATTTGGGCACAAGATTTGTTGCGTACCTGAACTTCCCTGAATCGAATCCATTCTCAAATTGTTGCAGGAGATTTGGTTCCTCTTCTTAATGAGAAGGCGATCGTTGAAGAAAGATGAACTGGGAAAAGGGGAATTTTTGTAATATAGAGAATCGTGAGGTGCGAAATGGAAGTTATTACGCAAAAGAGTTCTCATATCAAGAAGGAACGGTCGAACTGAGGGAAGGATAAACAAAATATGAAAAAAGAAAATAAAAAGGTGACTCAAAAAAACATATTTATT